AGCATGTATGACTGGGTGGAGAAACCTATTTATATAATCATGTATCAGGGATTGAGTAAAAAAAAAAAATCCCTCTCAGAGATTTCAGTTGCATTTATTGCTGGTATTTAAGCGCTGGCAGAGGTTATTCAGAGAGGCTGTGGAGTCTCTATCCCTGAGATATTCAAAAGCTGTCTGGCTACAGTCCTGGGCAACCAGGTCTGGGTGGCCCTGCTCGAGGAGGGGAGTGGGGCCAGATGACCTCCAGAGGTCCCTTCCAACCTCAACCAGTCTGTGATTCTGTATGGATCTGGGCGATCATCAAAGACGGTTAGCATCATTCATAGGACATGTTTCCAAGTATCATTGCGGTGGCTGAGTAGGAGTATCCTTGTTAGACAGGAATTCCCCATTTTAAGAGAGGAACCTCTAGTAGTGGGTAGGCTACTTGGAGAAGCACCCTCGGGGTCACAGTTGTTCAGTTTCAACACTCAGCAACTCACTCTTGTTAACTATTCATGTGATAAATTAAGACATTCACAAATTTTAAATTTCTGAAGGTGGTTGTAAACTGCAGTCAGGCTTGGCCATACTAAATTGATTATTCCTGGAGTCAAGCGCTTCCTCTGCACAGGATATGTGATCTCCTCATTGCTCTTTGAGTCGTCTTTGAACTCCTTCCAATTTATCCAAGTCCTCCTGAACCTCTGCCCCTGCCGCTGGGCCTGGTATTCCTGGAAGGGCCTCATCTCCCTGTGCACCTGGGAGCTGTGCCTTCCTCTTGCCCGCAGTGTACCGCGAGGAGCTCGCGTTGTGGTGGCTGTCACCCGCTGCCCCAGCCGGCCCTTCCTGAAATGGCCTCCCCATCCCACGTGAGCGGCCGGCGCTCCCTGTGTGCGAGGGGCCTGGGGACCCACCTGCCTGCGCCGGCCATGCCGAAAGGCCTCTCGGCTGGTCTCCTTCCTTCTCATGGATGGGAGGGGTGGCTGCGGTGGTGGTGGCCCATCTGCTTCATTGCTTTAATCATTTTCTCTGCCTCCCAACACCATATCTTTTTGTTTTTCCCAGATTTGTTTTAGAATAATTCCAAATCTCCTGTTAAGTAAGACATATTTGACGAGGTTGTTGTAACACTGTCACCATTGCATCATCAACACCTTTGTGCGTAGACAGATCAAAACGTTCTTTGTTGCATTAAACAGATCTACATTTTGGTCCTAAATCCATGTGTCATCAGACTTGGTAGTGGTAAACATGAATGTAAACAAGTTTATATTAAATTCTGAGTAGCCTGACTGCAGAGGCTTTTTAGATTTTTGTTTCTGAAGTTGGTATATAAGGAAACTTAGTAATGAAAATGGAAGTAAACGAAGATCTAGCGGTAGCTTTTGATTGGCAGTTAAAATTCTTAGATTATGTTGACCTCTGTTTCTTTCACCGCTTCTTTTAAAATATATTAAAGGAATTAACTCTGCAGCAAGTTATGATAACGTTGAAAAGTTTGGATCTCCTGTGACTTTCTAGAGCTGCTCTCTGACTCTCTAGAAGAAGCAGTGGCTCATTAGGGACACTATAAATAAATACGAGGCTCATTTTTCTGTGCCACTAAGTAGGTCCCACTTCAATTCAGAGCAAATACCTTATGTAAGTCTGGTGAGGGGAACTTTCCTCAGCGCATACACATTGCTTGTGTTAACCTATTGAAAATGAAATTCAAAGCCTGTTTTCTCTTGTGAAGGGTGGACGGAGCTCTGTGTGAGCTGTCAAAGGAAATTAGGAGTTTAGTAACTGATGTAGAAACAGAAGAGGAGGCTTCTTTGTATTTCTTCATCCTTGTGTGCTTTTGACAAATACTGTTAACTACTTAGAATTTGGTCCACTGTACTAACCAGAAGATAAAGTGGTGGGTTTGGGAAATAGCAAAAATAAAAACAATATATTACATTTTTTCCCCTCTAATCTTACTGTTTCAATAAGGTTCTACAGTAATAGTTCACTCTCACTCATTAGAAACTCACCTCAGGAAAGCAACCAAGTGCGTCTTTGTTCTCATGGATCAGAATCCTATTTTGTATCGTTTCAAAGCCATGTACATGTTCCTGTTGAGTTTTTTTCTTAATTTCCTTTTTTTAAAATTCCAGTCCAAACGTGAATTTTTTTTTTAGTTGTCTTAATTTAAGCCATTTACTTCCTCCATATGTGACAAGTGACACTTAACCCTGAGGAATGTTAAAATGTCCCCGATGAGAACGTGTTGGTGACACTGTGATATATCAAGCGCGTGGCTTGTGACGGCATCCAGTATTACGTAACCATGGGCTGTAATTACTCAAATGTGATGTCTGCGGACGTATGAACTTGGAAGAGTGCAGCATGACGATGCTAAAGGCAGCGTCCAAAGAAAATCAAATCTTTCTCTTGCATCTTGCTTGTTAGCTCTTGAGGCAGCTATGGTGCCTTGCGGTGTAATATTTACGCAGCAGTTGAGGTGTGAAATTTCCCACCACGGTGGCACCCTAATCCATTTTGGCAGTGCTGTGACAAGAGTCAAGAGCGTGAGCATGTGCAGACCCTCAGGTGGAGCTGAGGGGACCCAAGGGGAAAGGTAGAGAGATTGAAGAGGAAAGGGGAGCTTTCCTTGAATTTGCAACCTTGCTGTTTCAGTTCAGAGTTCGTTATTTGAAACACTGATGGAGCCGGGGGAGCAGCAAGCTCCTCTGGATCCGCTTTCTGCGAGTAGTGTAAAAATGCTGGTATATTTGTGATGTGGATGATGACCATCAGCCCTGGTCATCTGCTGACAAAAAGAAGAAAGCAAAGCTACAATCTTCAGAGTGCAGGAAACTTTCAGTCTTAAGTTTTCAGTTCTGCTGTGGGCTTTCTTGAAGGGAACTCTTTCCGTGTGCGGGGTTAACACAGAAGGCTGCATCTGAAGCCTCTGCGCACGCTTTAACCATCCACTGTAGTGAGCTGAGGGTGCTGTCAAAGCTGGCAAAAACATATCAGATCGCTTCTGTGAAGTGCTTATGCAGAGCAAGAGGTATCTGATTAAAAAGTTTTGTAATAGAAGGCAAGTTTGATGTCCAATCTCTTTAGCGTAAAGTGCATTGTTTAAGTAGTGTTTCTTTCTGCAGTCATCTCCTTGGCATTGTTATTGTACCTGGCCTTGTTTCGTGCATTAAGCTGTTAATATAGTTCAATTTTACAATTATACTAGCCCCTTCCTGTGTCTTAATGAAAGTAAGAAGTTCTTCCCAAGTATTTCCAATCATGCTTTTATTACTTTCTGTTGTTACCATGCCTGTGGACCAGGCCACATTCATTCAAAGACTATCGATCTCAAATCTGAAAAGGCTGTGCTGTTGTTCAGTAATGTCTCTTGAAGTTTGAAACTTTTACTTGAGCTGCAGTTAAATAGCCTGCTTGCTTCATTTTTGCCACAGTTACATTTTAAACCTGTGGTCAGGGGTGTGCCAGGAGGCACTGGCCCACTGGGATGCTGTGAGCTTGGGGTGGATACGTGATTGAGACGAATCACTTTTTCCTCAGGGCAGGGCTGTTGAGGTTCTTACGGTGTTTTTCCAAGCATCGGTTTTGGACTCCCAGAATTTACCCAATCTCAACCCAGCTCTCTTTAGTTGTGATTATGTTCCTTTTCTACAGGGTGTTTTTGGACCATCTGCAATTACTTGTTTTTCCTCAGGCTTGTTCCTATTTCTGTTTTTCTTTTCCACTGGTAGGTATGAGTAGACTGTAGTTTTCAGTCCACCTAAATCCTTGGATTTGACATACTCTGAAATTGGTATGGATTGCTTCAGGAAAGGCAAAGGAAAATTAGTCCTATCTGAGGGTGATGTTAGGGCTGATGGATTGCCAATTTGAAAAATCAGAAGTGAGAGCCGTAGGCTGTGCTAGCAACTGGTGTGGTGCCATGAGAGTCAGGAGCACAGAGTGAAGCAGCAGGGGCTGAGCATCCCCGCTGGGCACGCTTTGCAGGCTTTGCTTTGGTTAGCTCTAGCCTGGTGGCATGGACTAACCATGCATTAGGTGAGCTCCAGGAGTACGTCTTCCCATTCAGTTTTATCCACAAGGAATTTAGTTTGCATGCTCTGAAACCCCTCCACAGCGTGAACCTCAGCGGAGTGTGAGGTAATGTGCTCCCGATGAAGCGAAATGCACATGTAGATGCACTCGTAGAAGGTGACTGGGAGGTGGGTCTGCACAAAAGGTCAGTGGCTAAGACCCGTCCTTGGCAAAAGAGACCAGATAAGCCATTACCGACAGTAAAATTAAAAAAGAGAGGTGGGATAAAGGGACTGAGGGAGATAAAAAGCCAAATACGTAGCTTGATCAAAGTTGTGGCTTGCCAATAAATTAGTCATCTAGTTTGCTGGTGGCATGGTTGTGGGTGTGGAAGTGTATTGCAGTATTAAGAGCGGGTAGGATTTTGATCTCGGCAATTTAGGGAAGTTGGAAATAGGTTTATGCTGGTGATGTAAACCTAAACATAAGTAACTGATTCAACGGACTGTTAATACTGTGCAGACTGCAGTGGGAAAGAATTATGACGTTTGTTAAAATGACCGAGATAAACATAAAGGCATGCTATTAGTTTTAGATGTGTGGAGATTAGGCCCAATATATGTAGTTTTACAAGGAGAGCAATAGCATAGACATGGAGGAGAGGGTATTCTAGTCAACCATGAAACACCTGTTTAGCTGATCTGTAGCTTAAGCAAGTATAACTGGCCAAGTTATATTTTGACAGCCAGCTGGTACCACCATCGTATTCTGAGCTGGCAGCCATACGTTTTTATTGATGAACAAACACACCAGCTTTTCAGGTAAGTGCACATACTCATACCCTGAAGTAAATATAATACAGAGCAGAAGAGGGAGAAGATAGGAAAATCAGTATTGTATTGTGATATCCACATTACAAACACTTGTAACAATATTGCATGACCCAGAGCGCATACTTGTGTTAACATTTGTCTTTTTTTTTATACTTTTAACACTAGGTGTACCCTGAATTACAAATCACCAATGTTGTCGAAGCCAACCAGCCAGTTACGATCCAGAACTGGTGCAAGAGGGGATGGAAGCAGTGCAATGGCCACCCGCATATTGTGGTTCCCTACAGGTGTTTGGGTGAGTGACTGAGTTTCAGTCTTTTTTCCTGCTCTTTGGTGTTTCAGTCCCTTCATGAAAAAGACAGAGAATCTACATAAATATCTTTTACATCTCTGTGTTATCTTCTCTGAGATGGGTTTTGTCCAACTGTTCAGTCCTTTGGAACTGCATTAACTAGGGAGAAAATACTCCTGCTCTTCTGATACCATTTTCATGAGTGACTGCAAAACAGGCTTCTGCTTACTCCCCCGATTTTTGTCATTATCTATCCTTTCCCCTCTTCTCTTTCGATGTAGATATGCATGTGTGCACCCAGTTTACAGTTTTTTTGCTTATAAGCTATCCATCTTTTCCCTAAATAAATACTTTTCTTTTGACGTTATTTTTTTTAATATCTAGTACTTGGTCTCTTACTGTGAAAGACAATGGGAATCTGGTTTTATTGAAAGCAAGCAAAAGCTAGATTATAAAGTCCCCTGTCTCTTTCTGCAACTTAATTTTTGTAGCAGTTGCTTGCTGTTCTCTTCTGTGTCCTTTGTGCTTTGAATCGATTCACCAATTTAAAAGGGAGATTCAGTCCTTCATTTTTTTGTTAACCTTTACTTCTCTGTTAGCCTTCTGTCAGCATTCAGAAAGCAGAATCATATTTATTTCTTGTTTTTATTAACATTCTAGGCACAATGTTTTCTTGAGATTATTCCATGAGCTATTTAAATATGTTGCTTTACCAGTGCTGTTTGAATTGTGATAAATTGGCTGCCTAGTTTCATATTTAAATGCTGGAGTTCAAAGTTGGAACTTCCTGTGTTTTCTTTAGTTTTCCACAGTCAAGATAAAAACATCAGCTTGTAGTGTCGATATACTTGTAGAGCCAGATAAGCAACTTTGTAGAGGTGGGGCCGAACTGCAGTCTCACCTAGCTTCATCGTGATATATTTGATCAGATTCCATGTGAGTGCACTTGCACTAATTAGAGATGTAGTGGAACAAGATCAGACTAGTGGAACTATAAAAACTAATTTTTATTATTTATTGTATTGTCATCATAAGCAAAGCTCTGAATTATGATCAGGGAACTGTTATGCTCAGGACTCTCTATATTTATGTAGATTTGGTCAGTGCCCTGGAGAACTTACAATCTAATTTAAGATAAAAGACAATGTCATCACAAGAGCAAATGAATATAAATTGGCCATGAATAAATTTAATCTGGAAATTATAAGGAAGTTTCTGCAAGAGTGAAGAGCTCCAACAGTCTTCTGGTAAAAGGAATAAGAAGTCTAGTAATTTAGAAGGAAGTTCATAAATTTATGAACAGGATTATATGCAGTTCCCTGCAGGAATGAGGAACTGGACTTGGACTTTTAAGGTGTCTTTCCTGAGTTGCAGTTTTGAATGAAAAATTATCCAGAGTTGAATGTCTGCTTTCTTAGGTAGCAAGGTAGGCTTTGCTTGCTGGAGGCAAAAATTTTCAAGACATTTAAGCACCTCATGCCTGTTAATGCTTTGCCCTTAGCTCCTATTTTGTATTTTAAAATCCCCCCATACGATATTTTTTGCCCGATTTGTTTGTAATTGAGGCTTATGCAGTTGTGTCTGCCTGTGTTGGTCATCCTTCTTGTATGCTGCCATTCACCTTTTGACTCTGACTAGAATAAAACTAATAGAAACAAAAGCCTTAGATACTGATGTTCCCAAGAGTTTACTGTGAGAAGAGTGGCCACATAATTACTTCCACTGGAGGAAGAATGGTGAACATGGCCATTATCTGTCATTTCTCCATCAGCCAGCCCTCTTGTCCTGGTTTCAGCTGGGATAGAGTTAATTTTCGTCTTGGTAGCCGGTATGGGGCTGTGTTTTGGGTTTAGGATGAGAACAATGTCGATGATACGCTGATGCTTTGGTTCTTGCTAAGTCGTGCTAAGCTGTTGCTAAATAGGTGCTAAGTGGCGCTCACACCGGTCCTGGACTTTTCAGCCTCCCCTGCTCTGCCGGGTGCACGGGGGGCTGGGAGGGGGCACAGCCGGGGGGGTGCTGACCCAGACTGGCCAAGGGGCTATTCCATACCGTATGGCGTCATGCTCAGTATATACGCTGGGGGAAGAAGAAGGAAGCAGGGGGGGACATTGGGTATGACGGCGTTTGTCTTCCCCAGTAACCGTTAAGCGTGATGGAGCCCTGCTTTCCTGGAGATGGCTGAACACCTGCCTGCCCATGGGAAGCAGGGAATGAATTCCTTGTTTTTGCTTTGTTTGCGTGCACGGCTTTTGCTTTGCCTATTGAACTGTTCTAATTTATTTTACTTCAGTTATTAAACTGTTCTTATCTCAACCCACGAGTTTTCTCCCTTTTACCCTTCCGATTCTCTCCCCCATCCCACTGGTGGGGGGAGTGAGCGAGCGGCTGCGTGGTGCTTAGTTGCTGGCTGGGGTTAAACCACAACACCTCTGCTTGTTGCGTGTGGTTAAAGTTGGACTTTCCTGCATGTGGCAAAAGTGTGTTAGCGGAGGAGGTGGAGGAGTGGGTCACTTTCCCACGTGTGAGGCTGGGAGTACAGCCCATTATGGGGAGTCGGGCTTGCTTAGTACCCAGCAGCGTGGTGTTCATCTGTTGATAGCAACCCACGCTGTCCTCTCTGCTGGCTCACTGCCTTCATAGTGGTGAAGCTGGTCAAAAGATGAACAGATTCTCTGAAATGAGAGGAAGTCTTGAAGGAAAAAAAAAGGCGTAGTTTGGGTTTTTTAACAAAGACTGTTTATTTACTTTTCCTGTTGGACAGTTACCCTTTTAATTTATTACTTTGATTTTTCTGTAGCCTAGAAGTTGTGGTCAAATACCTTGAATACTCTTGCTGCCTTATACGTCAAGGGGGTAGACTGGAGGCAGGGAGCTGATTGAATTCAGTCTGTCAGTGTCTCACGGCTTTGATGATCTTTTTTAATAATTTTATGCACTATCATGTTGTGGGGGTTTGGGGGTTGTTTGTTTGTTTGTTTGTTTTATTATTTTGGTAACTAATCTTCTAGCCTGCACAAACAGCTCAGTATGGGGATACTGATATTATTAATTATCACCATAAGCAGAACTATGTCTGTCTTGGAATACTTTTTCCTAAATCTTACTTGTTACAGAGTTAAGGAGTCTTGAGAGCTTTATTTTTTCTTTATCTCCTGCTAATATTTCTTCAATGTTAAAAGATAATTTTTCTGAAAGTTGGCTCTTTCTGTCAGCTCTGCGTGTGCCTCTGCTATCGTTGGTGTGGTAGCTGCTAGTGGGCGGTTTCAGAAGTCGGGCACTGGCACTGCCCATTCCTCAGTAATTTTAGTGCAAGTAGACCCTTGATGTAGACCACCATTAAATCCATTGACTCTAGTAAGAATTAAGATGCCAAAAGAAAGTTTGGCAGTGGGCAGCTGATTGCAGGGTTGAGTCTTACAAATTCTACTTTGCCCTGAGAATGACTTTCAGTATCTTGAGTCAGCTTATAGTTTCTTCCATCTTGACATTTGTTTTCCACAGAGGTGAGAAACAGCGAGTGACAGAAATGTGTCTGCTTTCAGGCCAGAGCATCTTCACAGTCCATTTGTGTTCCAGACTTCAGCCGAGGCTTTCTGAGACATGCAAGGGAGCGTATCGCTACAGCACTTGGCTGCTCCATTAGTTTTTTCTCTGAGACTCGTGCATGATGGTAGTTACTGCAGCTATTTGTAGCAGTATACTTTAGTAATATTAATCAGATTTATTAGATTACACAGCTTCATATTTTCTTAAGTGGATGCAACTAAAGCATAAAAGGAATAATTTAAATAAGGCAAAATGAAAGCCCCTTATTTGAGTGTGTCTTTGCGGTGACCACATAAATATGCCCCCTAACATGTTCTAATTGAACCCAAAGCAGAAAAGCATTACTGGTTTAATTCAATTTTAAGATATGATTTTGTGCCTGTGTGCAGGGCTTTGCAATGCTCTTAAAACTGCAAGCTTTGAGAAGATGTTCACGTGCAATAAATCTGATTTACTGATGTATTCATTGCATGCTTCCAGGGACACAGGGGATTACCGTACAGTTTCAGTTTGCTGAAGAGGGGAAACTTCTTGTGAAAAGAGAGTTGTTGAGTAAATTTTAGTTACCTTTCTGAACACACTGAAGGCATTCACCTTAAAACTTTCTTTATTTTTATTTTCCTGCTCTTAGAAAATGACATCTTCCAGTGTGTGCTTATTACGCCTTGAAGCTTTGTTAGTCACCTTATGACAGAAATGGGAATCTAAGTGAATAGTTAGGTCTCTTGAATGATGGTGTCAGACTGCGGTCTTCAAGGGAAAAAAAAACCCTGGGATTTGAGGGGGTGTCTTTTTAGTAACACAAAGACTAAAGGGTTAAATTATGCTATTTGAGTGAGGAGTGTGCTGTTCGACATAGAGCCACGACTGTGTTTTCGGTGCCTAGGCAAAGATGATGAGCCGTGAGATGTGCTGGCGGAAGAGTGAAGATCTGCAGCGCTTCCTTGGCACGGTGTCGGGCGGGCGTGCTGCCATCTTCACACCTGCAGCGCGCAAAAAGCAGGTGTTTTAAGACCGAGCCCTCCAAAATGGTGACAGTAAGCTTGCTGTGGGGCACGGGCTGCAGGGTTTCATCAGGCAGTGCCAAGAAGCCCATGATTTCCACTTCGTTTTATGGAAACTGGTCTTGAAAGATATCCTGGCTGCAAACCTGGCCTTGTTAATGTTGGAAGGGAGACCTGCCACTGGCTGCAGCAGGAGGGCAGGATTTTTGGGACCGCGTGAGCAATAAGCAGTTCTGGTTTGCTCTCTCCTCTCTGCACTTCTCGCCTGAGGAAAAGCAGCTGGCGAATTTGTGCAGTGTGGGCTGTGAAATGAGGTAACTGACTCTGTCTTCCAGGCTGGCAGTGGGAGCGGGCATCCTTGTCCCAGTGCCGTAATTCTTTGAATACCTTGGATAAATGTATGCCTGTACTTTCCTGAATAGGTGACATTCATTTACTGTTGGTGAAATA